GGAACGAAGAGAGATCTCATGTGAAGATAAATTAATTTTGGAATTCAAATGAAAACCGAATTAAAATTTTATTGATCTTTGCAAATAGCCTCATGATCAATAATACTTTATAACATTTAATTTAAGCTTATAGTAATATTTCTCGCTCGCTCTACATTTCTTAGCTTTATAAATTATCCAAGAGTTTAACAATGGTGCACTTTCCTTGCTAATATTAACAGCAAAACAGCAGTTCTACAAATTTTAAACCCCTGCATTTTTCTCTTCTCTCTCTCATTCATTAGGATATTTTCATATTTTTGCAGTAAGTGTTTTTAAGGTAAAGAATAAATAAAAAAATAAAATAAATGAAAGGTTTAACTACCAGAACAGTAAATAAACTCAATAGTGTTCTGAGTACATATTTTGATAACATCTTCTAAATAAGCAAGCTAAGTGATGAGTAAACCCATTATGACAAAGTTTTCATTCTTGCTACCCACAACAACACAACAATTTTTATAGCTGAATAACTTAAAGATAGCCGAAAGGCATAGCTTTCCTTTGCTTAATATATGAACAACCATCTTGAGTTACAAATCAATCACTGAAAAAAATAAATCACTAATTGCTTAATTAAGTCTAATTGTTAATAATCGAAGGTTTTTAACAGTAGAAGAATTTATACTCTCGTTCACAGGAAGGATGAGAAATGGCACTCATCTTCAGAATATTCTAGAAATATTGGAAATTATAGTGTGCCTCAGGTTCAAATCAAAGCGAATGACCTACGGTCATGCATGGATGTTTGAGTGGTTTCCTTACGCCTACACAAAATGCTACTAAATTAATCTTAGAAAATGCTTTGTTTTAGGCAAAGTATGAGTATGTTTAAATTCAATTTGATATAGTGTAAACGTTAATCTTACCTTCTCAGACTCCAAACGAATCTTCTTCAGCCCTTACCTTTCAGTCTCAGAATATAGGTAATCAGAACAATGTAAAAACAGTTAAAGTATTTATTTCCTCTTGAATTTAAAAAAATTCAAATGTTAACAAAATTAGCTTTTGTTTGATGAATTAACTTCTGCTTGAGGAATTAGCTTGTGCTTGATGAATTACCTTCTGCTTGAAATAGCTTCTTCTTGAGAACTAAACAGATAAAGACGATTCAGATTGTTTGCAAGCTTAATAATAGTTTAATTTTAGTCAAAGATAAACTCAACAGCTCATAATACAGCACAAAAGAAACAACGCAAAATAAAAAAAAAAAAAAAAAAGAAAGAAGGCAGCAAAGAAAAGAGTGCGCCTTCTATGTAATCTGAAATTATTTCAGTAAAATTATTTTGTATTTGTAGCCCAAAGGGGCTTTAGCCCAGAAAAGCTAGTAGTCTGGAAATAATTTCAGTTTGAGTTGCGTCGGTTCACTATAAAAATCTGTTTCATTTTTCAAATTGTTACTATCAAATATTAGGATTCTGAATTATATTTAAAGAAATTAAATTATAAGGTATTTCAACCGTCTTCCTGGACTATTGGCTATTCTCCATTGCAGATGCTCTTCGGTCGAGACCTTCGTCTGCCTTGTGACCGCCTGTTTGATCGCCATACGGATGCGCCTTCATAGCCTGAGGAATACATCCAAGATGTCCAAGCCCGGTTTGAAGTGATGCACCGTTCCGCACGATGAGCTGCCGTATTCCAAAAGTCCGCGTTTCGATTCTGGGCGAAGGCGTTGCTAATTTTTCATCCTGCCTGCTTCCAAAAAAATACCTAATGTTTCTACAAAGTAATGAAGAACCTGCATGAAAGTATTTATGTTTCTCGCTCTATGAAAAGCAATAATACCTAGAGCCATCAAATTTTGAATAGTGTAGTCCTTCACTCGAATTTGGAATTTGTTTTATTGCCTATTTCATATTTTGCGAAACGTTAACGAATTTTTTATTAACAAACTTAAAGGTTTCAAAGAGAGCAATGACTACACTGTACTGGAGGGGGGAAAAAAAGAAAAAAAAAAAAAAAAAGCATTTAAATGTCCATGTCTACAGCAAGAATTCTTTATAAAATATTTAAAATGCACAGCAATTTAAAAATTTTTTTACGTATACATCACTTACATTTTTCTTTATTTTGGGAATTAAAAATGAAATTTCGAAAAATTTTGACTTCATGAAACATATTTAGAAATTCCTTTGTCCCTTTAAACTCTGCACGAGTCTATTTTCGAATTGCTCCCCTTAACAGTCGCATTGCCTCCTTGTGGGGCGTGGGTCCCCCGTTGGGAAACACGAATCTAGAGTCATCAAGTTTTGAATAACATAGTCCTCCACCTGATCATGTGAACCTCGAAGTCCGAATCTGTAATTTTGAAGTTTTTTGTTTTTCAATTTCATATTTTGTAACACATTAACGAATTTTGTTAAAAAATTCCAACAATGTCAAAGACAGCAGTTGGAACACTGTAGTAAATATAACATTTTCATCTCCAGAGCGCGAGACTATATCTCCAGAGCGCGAGTAATTTCTATAGGAAATTCTAAAAATATGCTATTTTAAACATTTTAGCACAATGTGGCGTTAGCTCAAATGCATTCGAAACGTGTGTCTGTAAATGAAAAAAAAAAAAAAAAAAAAAAAAAAAAAAAAAAACACCCGACTGAGCCTAATGCAAAATCTGAAAGCATTCAGAATTTTTTTATAGATTTTTATTACTTATTTATATCAAAATTACACTTACATATAGGAAATTTAGTTTAATTCTGACAACATTATCTTTGTGTACAAACTTTTATGGCAACGAATGTGCTTTAATGAGTGGAATATTTTATATGCAGCTAAAATTTCTTAGTTTATCAATAGCTCAAACAACTAAGTAGTAATTTTCTTTTTCGATTTTGATGCATCGATTGCAAGTATCTGATTTATATGCATAGTAATGGCTTAACTGTAGATCATGAGCTCCCAAAATTAAAATAAGGATGTTAATCAGGATGTTAATTGTAATTATGGCTGAAGAAAACCATACTCATATTAAAACGAATCTTAATTCTGTATGCTACGGTATTATGCAAATGTTACGAAATATTTGTAATGAAGACTTTTCAAAACTTTTGGATTGCTACATTACTTTAGGATACCATTATATGTATCATCAGTGGAACTGGAAAGTGTGACTATTGCACATAAGGTCTACAATTTATCTTCTATGCGGCCTCATGAACAGTCGATTCTCAGAATTGTACTATCACGCAAAATATAATATATATGTAAAACTTACGATGCAATATAATTTATTAATAATATTAATAATTTTTCTCATCTATTAATAAATTGTCTATTTAAAAACTATAAATGTTTTCATTGATAATTAAAAACCTTAATTTTATTTTAATAATATATCAAATGGAAAGGAGCTAAAACAAATTTCATTTTAATTTCATATCTATCTCAATTTTTCAGCAGTTTTGCAGCCTTATTATAATTCGAGAATACTGTACAAGCATTTGGTACAAACTGGCTTTATTTTCCTTCGAAAAAAAAAAAGGAATGTTATGACTTACATAATAATATAATGCGACATAAAAGTGATGTTTTTGAATTAGCAACTGTTTTATCTTATTTGATAATGATATTGTACATTTTCGTATACATAGAAATACAAGCTAATTATTTTCCATTTTGACATTATATTATATTTAAATACCAATGCGTTAAGACGCACATACACACTGCATCTACAAAAATCATTAGACCGCATTTATATCTGTAACTGTTTATCATAAACATATGTTTAATTTTACAAAAATATTTTAAATGTTATATATTTCTATTTTGATACTTAAATTTAAACAATCACTTTTGAAAAAAATTGAGAAATCTGAATTCTTAGGCTTATTACTTCCTTGGTAAAAAGTAAAAAAATTATTGTAATCGCGAAAAATTCGGATATCATATTTAAACAGAAATATTCAATTGTAATTTAAAGATGTGTTTGAGTGACATCTGTACGTAAGAATAGAATAAAGGATTCTTTTTCTCTAAACGGATTCTAAAATGGATTTAAAATGGATACATGCAATAGATTGTAATGGATTGTAAAATAGCTTTAAAATGGATGTATGTGCATACCCTCTCTATTACCCGTCTCACTGAGCTCAAAATTTTATTCTTATATGTTGGTAAATTGTATATTTTTTGCATGAAGAGTGATTGAATTATGTAATTCTTGTATTCCGGTTTAGGTTTTCTATGCCTTTCATTAATCTGCATACAGTAGTTGTAGAATTATCAGCAATTTAAACATTGTGTAAGTCTTGATAAGCCTAATGAAGCTGCCATTTGTTTACATTTGAAACTTAACTTGAATTAAGTCAGTCTGTGCACCTAAGATTTGTGCACCGAAACATCTGTCTTCCTATCACTGACCGAATTTTTTGTTTTTGCTTAGAAACTGTAATATTAAATGTAAATTATTGCAACCGTTTTTAACTGTACTTGGTCTTTAACTGTACTGGTACTTGTCTTGGTACTTTTAGGATTTTCTGTATTTTACAATTTTTAGTGAAGTAAGATTACAACTTCAAAATCATAAAGAAAAAAAAAAAAAAAAAAAAAAAAGAAAAAAAGAAAAATAACAGCCAAATTAAAAAATTTAAATAGAATTAGTTATTTTGTATTTATTCATTTTTAGCCCATGTGTATACGTTGAAAATATATTTTGCTTTCCCATATGGCTATTGAAACTATAGTTAAATATTTCTTTAAAAAAGAGAAAGTAAAATTGGTATGGAAACGAAATAAATTCAACCTACATTATTTAAAAAAATAGTGGGTGTAAGATTAATCTTAAAAAGAATAAAAGTGACCATTGCAACATTTGACACTGAAACTGAATGAAAAAGTTAATAAAGTAAAATAGTGTCAAATTTTTTTCATTGCAATGAGCCTCTTGAAAGCGACGCATGTGCTTCGTGAAGCGAAACCTAACCATTGTATATAAACGGTTCCCTCGAATGGCAGCTTATTATCGCTGGAACTAAGAGTGTAAACAATAAAAAAATATTTCATTATGATGAAGGCCGTGGTAAGATTAATACTTTATATGCTTGTTATTATGCCCCGACTTTACTAAAACGAAAGCAGAAAAACAACATATTTTTATTTAGAGTTTTAATTAATAGAATAAGTTTTATATTTCTCAGGTTTTAAATTATAGCTTCTATTATACATATCTATCTTCTGTAACTAAATTAAGTTCTATCTAAAATAAATATTATTAATTATTTTATTAGCAACTATTTATGTGTTCAGACAGTCTTGAATTAATAGTTTATGGTAATACGTATTTTAACTTACTTACTAAAAACGAAATGTATTTTAGAATATTTGGTACAATTTCTTAAATTGTTAGATATTTAGAAAATTTTTATTTCCATCTAAGAAATAGCCCTAATATGTGAAAATTTGAGCTAATAAATATCTGCTTAAAAATATACAAGGATACTACTAGGAAGTCCTTAATCACACCAAAATTTAAAATTTAAAATTAATAGAAGCAGTTTTTATTTTTATTTATTTATTTATTTATACTTACGACAAGGGCCCGCCAGCGGCCGAGCGGTAAAGTCGCTGAACACTGGTAGTTCGGTCCGAGGTTCGAATCCCGCGAACGGGCTGGCTGCATGGGCGTTTTCGTGGTTTTCCCCATGTGTAACGTGTATACGAGCCAGTTTCCCTTATAAAGTCCTCCACGAAAGGCATCCCTCCCTTTAGGCAGATAGCCCTCGAGGCTTTGCCATAATCACATACACACACTATACTTACGACACTTTGTGAATTACAGGTAAAAAACTTAAGATTTTTCTTTCATTATTGAAGATCAAATTCATATTTAAAATTCTGAGGTTTTTTCTTCTAAATATTTGATATTTTCTCAATTTGCCAGAAAATTTGAGTTACGTCCTGTGTAATCAATATACACTGGTGCGCAAAAATTAAGGACGAAGTCGAAAATTTAGCATATCAGCTGAACGAAGAGGCAGAACGGACAGAAAGACCAATCAGGAGATTAAGTAAGGTAATGTACGGTAGCACATGCGCAGATATGCAGGTAGACGTAATGGAGGAGTGTCTGAGTAGTATAAAGCATGTTGTCGGTGTAAGATCAGTATTTCTGGCAAAGAGATTGTACGCCGTATAGCAGTTAAAATCACACCGAGTTGCTGCCTCAGCAAGAAATGGCGAATAATCAATCTGTTAGACGACATCTGGATGCTTTTACCCGAGGTAGAATCATTGGGAAGTTGGAGGAAGGCCGCAGTGTGACAGGTGTGGCTGCAGAGTTGGGAATGGCTCACAGCATCGTTTCACGACTTTGGAGACAATTTCAAACTACAGGAACAGCTATCCGGGGGTTTAGCAGTGGTCGTCCACGAGGAACCACACCCGCAGATGACCGGTATATTGCCTTACAGGCCAGAAAAAACAGGCGGCAGACAGCGGGAGAAATCGCTAGACACAGGCGACTGGACGACCGATATCGCGTTTTACCGTGGCCAGAAGACTGCATGGTGGTGGTCTGTTTGCACGACGCCCTGTACGGTGTGTACCTCTAACGCCTGCCCATCGGAGAAGGCGTTCTCTGTGGTGCCGGGAACACCGGAATCGGAGAGACAATGAATGGGGACGAGCACTCTTTACAGATGAGAGCAGATTCTGTCTGAGTAGCGATTCTCATCGCATACTCATCTGGAGAGAGCGGGGAAGCCGCAATCATCCCTCGAACATCATTGAAAGGGACAGGTATGGAGGTGGCGGTGTTCTCGTTTGGGGAGGCATCATGCTTGGTAGTCGTACAGACCGTCACATCTTCGACGCAGGTTCAGTCAACGGGACCCGTTATTGTAACGAGGTTCTTCTTCCATATGTGCGTCTTTTTAGATGCACTATGGGTCCGCAGTTCCTTTTCGTGGAGAAAATGCACCATGTCATCGCACAGTAGCTGCCGAACAGCTCTTAGAGAGTGAGGATATTGAACGTATGGATTGGCTGGCACGATCACCGGATCTCAATCCCATCGAGCATGTATGGGATTTTCTAGGCAGACGCTTGGTAGCTCGTACCTTACCACCAGTAACGATTCCGGAGCTTCGATTGGCGCTGCAAGACGAATGGGCAGCAATGCCTCAACAACTCATTGACACTCTCATTCTCAGCATGGGCAGACGCTGTGAAACCTGCCTAGCAGTCAGGCGAGATCATATCCCCTATTAAAGACCGGATGTTTCTTGCTGGACACCCATCACAGGGATGTTTCGGCCTTCAGTCGCATTGCGCTCCATGCTACTTTTTCAATAAAACTTCTTTTTATCCCTCTGATTCTCTTTTAGTAGTGTTGCTTACATTACTCATGTCCTTACATATTGGGGATCTTACAGTATTAAATGTGTTGATTTGGAAAGCTTTTGTACAAAGTTATATTGAAAAAACCGTCTCGTCCTTAATTTTTGCACACCAGTGTAGATAAAACTTAAATACATCATTATGCTATAGGTTTTATTTTATTTGAATTGTTTAGATCTTAATTCTGTTTATTCTTTCCTCATATGCGCTGCAAATTCTCTATCTGACTATGAAAAGTTATGTGGGATTTAAAACCACACGGCAAATGTAGAAAAACATACAATTACAAAACATAAAAGTTGTTTCCTGCTTATGAAAACAGATGTTACCCATAGCCATATTCCAAATTGTTTTCTCAGAAATGAAATGCTAAAAAGAGAAAGAGAAATTCTAGAATAATGTTTGCTGTACTGCTGAGAAGAAATGCCAGATAGATGTTACGGCTGAGAATCTCTTCGTCAGATTAAGCAAGTTAAAATGAGGCTGAACCGTATTGTAATCAAGTTGCTTAATTTCATTTCTATATATTCATAATTCTCATTAAGTGTTTCAGCCTTATGATGGCCCAATAAATGTCTGATATCTTAAGTTATTAGATTTTGGTCTGTTTTTCTATTTGTTTATCATCGAATCGGATGATAATTTCTCTTTCTCAATTTAAAGTTCTGAAAATACATATCTTTTATTTATGATTCCTGTAATTTTACTTTAATCTTCATTTTGCTAAGTTCATTTATTTATATTTATAAGCTGTGATTTTGATTTTATTACGTTCATTTATTTATATTTATAAGCTGTGATTTTGATTTTATTACGTTCATTCATTTATATTTACATTTTGAGATTTTTATTAGATGAGCTTGCAGCATTAAAATTAAAATAAGGAGAGAATTAGATAACTATACATCTGAAGTAAATTCAGTTCATTACAGTACACTGTAGAGGAAATGGTGAGTAGTGTACTAAATTTGAAACGCACTTCCATTCAAATAAGAATTTTGTGCTCTATCTTGAATCCTTAGTCAAGAGGACGCTGAACTAGCAGCAAAGTACAATTGCAACATGACCTTTTACGACTGAAATCATCCTTGCTGCGACTGTTCATTTCCCATACCGATGTTAAGTACTTGATCTTTAAAATGCAAATTTCATTTCACGTTGTTGTTGTCTTGTCCATATGACATAGAACAATAGTTGCCAGAGCCAACTCCGAAGAGAGTTTGGACTTCTATTTCATTTCACGTAAACTTTCATAACGTTAATTTGCATTAAATTGTATGAATATAGCTAACATTTATTTAATGACTAAAATAATGCATTTAAATGTATTTTAAAATTTTTCAGCAGTATAATACGAGATTTGTTTAAAAATTATTAATACAGTGAGTGTACAGGAAATTGTTCCCGCTAAATAGAGCGAAAATAATTTATCCGAAATATAAATAACACTATATTTAATTTTTACCTAGCTTTATTTTTCGTTACTTCTTTCATTCTTTATATATGATTAAATTTTACAAAGAATGATTTGTATATAATTTAATTTAATGAATTACATAAATCTTTTCCTTATAAAAATAAATTTCGGATAAACATAATAATATCAGCATGAAATAAAACAATATAGAAAGAAATGCCTGGTGAATGATTAATAGGAATACCTGGAATGAACTATACTTGCTTTCAACGCAATTTTACGTAAATTTTAATATTATATTATGCTAAGGATGACTTTGAAAATTATTTATTACAAACTGAAAAGCAATTCATTTTTAAAAGCTCTTAAAGGCATTTTTTACTTTAAAATTATTTATCGTGCTTTCTATCATCCATCTTTTCATGGAATTTCTAAATTGCTTCAATTATAAAGGAGGTTTTTTTAAAAAATAATTTCTATATAAAGGACAAAGTATTAGTTCAAACATATACGTTTTAAAGAGCATTTTTGTGTAAATGCGTTACTGCATTTACACGAAGAATGTTGTCCATTTGATAGTACTATGAAAATACACTGTAAATCATGAGCTGCTTTAACATTTTTCTTACATGTGTTTTGGAAAAAAAGTAGTCGTAGATCAGAAATTAATAATGAGTGATTATGACGTTTTACAGAATGTGGCATTGAAAATGATGCTATCCTCAAAAAAGTGACAGCTGTAAAATGCAGGTATGCTGGCTTATATTCAAGATTTAAATGCTCGTCGTTTGCTCTTTATACAAATTTTCGTTCGCTTCATAAGGCTCTGATATACACAACGTTTTATTTTGCGGATTGCATTCAATTACATGGACTGAAGCTCTCGTCTCGCTACTAGCCATCTGAAGTTCCATCGTCCGAGAAAGTAAGATTCCATTTACAGCAATATTCACGCCTCAAAACCATCGTTTTTTGTCTCTAAATCCGATAATGTTTCGCCTTAGCATCGATTGTTGACTAAATAAAGCCTTAGCTGTAAATAGAACGCTAACTAGAATACCAGTTTTGTTGTATTCCCAAAAACATCCATAGACATATGGAAAAATTGAAAAAAAAATCATTATATGCTTTTAATGCTTTCACAAGACGTCAAAGACTAGTCCTTAAACCAATTTTTCGAATGTATTCGATAGATCAGGTGCAAGTTTATTTCGAATTTTATTCACAATTCATTTGTCGTTAGCATTTGCGTTTAAAGTTTCAATGAAATCTCACGAAATTTATATAGGGAGAGAACAATGATGCTGTTACTTAAACTGGGCTATAAACAAGAGAGAGCAATTATAAGTTGTTCAGAACGGATCACATAGGTCAACAAAGTAAAATAAAGATTTAATAAATAATAATAGGTTGGAAACGAAATTTTGGTATGTAAAAGTGAGTGGTTCTATCGTACAGCAAAAAATAATGCTCAATAATTAATGCGCTCTATTCCTTGCCATACGATAGGACGACTCGCTTTTAAATATCAGTATTTCGTTTCCACCTGTTACTACTCGTATAATGCAACCTTTTTAAACTAGCTCTCTGCGTAATGATGTTACCTCAGAAAATATTAGTACCAGCACCAACTGAACTCATCTGCTGCTAAACTGAAGGAAATTTTTGTGTGTCTTTTCTCTACCACATTCTTTACACAAGCGCATACAAAAATATTAAACTTTTCTCATCTAATATATAACTTATTATTGTAATTTAAATTTATAATGATGTCTTTTAATTTTTTATCAGGTTTACCTTATCTTAGTGTTGGCAGCAGTTGCCTACAGCTCCTACGTTGATGTTATTCCACATTACAGCAAACATGGACATGGACATGGAATTAGTACCAGATACTTCAGAAAAGCCCAAGGACATGCATATGGAGGCTATGGCCTAGGATATGGCAGTTATGGAGATTATGGTTTAGGTGGATACGGCGGTTATGGAGGTGGCTATGGAGGTTATGGACTAGGTGGATACGGTGGCTATGGTAGTGGATATGGAGGTAGCCTCGGTTATGGCGGATACGGTTATGGTGGATATTTCTAGAAATAATAAATTTTTCAACGAGCATAAGCATGGTATGCATATTACAGTTCATAGAATTTTAATAACATTAAAAATATTTTAGTTTCAAAATTTAATCATGAGCTTCAATTTTAATACATAGATCAGTAGATGCTAATCAGTAGAATCAGATCTTTAAATACGGAATTTAGAGCAATATAATACATGCATATTTCTTTTCTGCTATTATTTCTATTAATTACCTTAACCTAATTTTAAGCACAAAAATATTTGCGTTTGGAATGCTATTAGAATATTCAATATCAATCCCTGTCCACTTGCTGTTATGCATGTATTCATGAATCTATTGCATGCATAATTAAAGATATCAATTTAATTAAATTTTAAGGTACCTATAAATACGTAATACCTATTAATATTTTGCAAACAGAAATTATATGCAAGTTTTGCGCAACAGCAGTTGGACTTTTAAATAATCACATTATTTAATTGTTAAATTTGCATTCCTGTGTCTTGAATTTACCCGCTTACAATAGAAAATATTTGGATTATTTTTTTGTACATTACCTGTTGCTTTATTCCTAGTAGCAGAATTAAGCTAATATTTATCTTCAATATTCGAAAATGCTCTCTCATTTTAGATGAAAAACATTAATCACATAAGCAGAATATTCTTAAGAGCAAAATAATCGGTACTTTTAGAATTTCACATCTAAATGATTTTTTTCTCACAAATTTATTATTTCTCTATTACAAGATTGTGTTTCACGCTAATAAAGTTTTTTACGTATCACTTTGTAGAGCTATTATGTTATTTTGAAGCAGAAGAGATGAAAAATGAGCAGTGAACTCTCCAGAACGCGAAACACGGACCTCTCGAATACGCGCTGAGCGTGCTGATCACTACACTATGAAGGCATGCTCAGAAGGCGGTGGAAAATTATCATCCACCACCTTATTTAGGTCCGGCGCCACTTGTAGAGACATTCGTATTTTTTGGAAGCAGGAGATTAGAAATGAGTAATGCCCTCGCTGGGACTCGAACCATGGACCTTTCGAATACCCGCTGACCACTGCACCACGAAGGCATGCTAAGAAAGCGGGAGAAATACCTTATAACTTAACTAAATGAAGTAATTTTGTGAAATATGTGAATGTGATTTTTAAGATTTGGTTAAAGAAAGATGCAATTTTTAAATCATTTATGCATAAATTATATATATTCTCTTGACAAAATTAACATTTGCTGAAAAATTATCATAATTTTTTTAAATGAATTTCAAATAATGAGAAGAAACTATACTTACTATAAGTGAGTTTAAATTTAATAACTTTCTTTGATTGGAAATTATGTATATTGCTTAACCATTCTTACAAATTGATGAAAAAGATAGTATATTTATATATAAAATTTTGAACACTAAAAACCACTTTTAACTAAATATCCTGGACGAACTCTTATATTTTTGAAATTCATATTCGATCATGTTCAATGACTGTTATTAATACTATTTTCAGGTCATGAAAGAGATGTGTCTAAATGAAGAAATCTCAGGAAGATGTGTGACTGCGACAAAAATAGTAATAAAAAATTTTCAGAGCATTCTTATTGTGTTGTTTCTTGAGTTATGAGTTAATGTTTCAGATTACTACTAGTTAGCTTATCTCAAAAAAATCTGTGTACCAGATTTCATTTTCCACGATTACATTAAAATAAACAGGAATACGAATCTCAGTCGGAAAACTGCACCTGCTATTTTCATTTCTGTATCTTGTTTGTTATTTTGAAATACAATTTCAATTAATGGAATTAAATAGTCATAGGATAAATTATTTAGTTGCTAGGCTAAGATATTTTTGGGCAGGCAAAACGTTTCATATATGTATCAAATAAAAAATTTTGAGCTCAATGTAACTCTTACATTAATCTTTATATAATAACTGTACATTAACTTTAAAAATTTCGTTATTCCTTGTCTTAAAACTTAATAGCTTTAACTTTCTTACAAAATACTTTCTGGATATCTAATAAAATGCAAATTGATAAATGCAACTTCAGCAGTGCAAACACGTAATCATTAAATAAAAAATTTAGCATTAATTAATCACAGTTTAAAGCAGACAAGCTAAAAGCAGTGAAAGTTTCAGCTACTGTTAGCACACAAACTAGACTTTGATTTAATTTTTTATAAGCACGAAATTTGATCAGAGCATGGACAGAAAGCACATTTTACTACGCTCATTTTGAATTCCTCACTGAAGTAAATTAATGTATTTCCTCATCATTGGATCATCTTTTCAGCTAATTCTGCAAATTAGTGTTAATAGGGGAATCACATTATAAACACAACAAATGAATAAACCACTGAAGGAAATTATAGTATGACTCTCATTTTCAGTTCCTAACCATGGGAAATTTATAATTTTCCTCACTAAAGATTTTCTGCTGAGTAACTTAATAAAATGTTGTTGAGAAGTGAGTTATAGTGCGAGTTAGGGAGAATGAGTAAGGCAAAAAATTTAATCGATAGAGGAGGAAAATGGCTAATTGTTAGTGCCATTATAAAAGGTTTAAACCAAAATTTCGAATCTGTTATAATTGGAAGAAAATTCCTGCAACACGTTTTAAGTAATCCTAAGAAATTGCTGTAATTCAAATAGTGAATTAAAATTAAGCTCATTGTTCCAAATTCTCATATAAAAATATCAGCTTTCTCTATAAAATGGTAGCAACGATTTCGTTATTTCTTCAATTCAGATTGCACGTATGGTCGGATTTTGAGAGTATATACATGACAGAAACACTTTTAATTTAAATGTACTGCTGACACTGATAATTTTATAATTTTCGAGCTGCACTTGGCTTGATGTGCTTTACTTTCACAGGAAGTGTAAGTAGCCTTTGATAATATTTACCTAAAAATTTTGTTTCTTGCGATTTCATTTAGAATTTTCCTCTTATATGTATGCACAAATTCGTACGTTTTTTTTTCAAATATATATTTTGCTATACCTACTGCAGGGCTTTGAATTATTACCAGAGTTAGTGTATGCAAGGCGATTGCAAAAGAACAAATATAAATTTCGTGTTACATATCTCTTCAAATGTATTTTTTCACAATACAAGACGAATAAAAAATAAGTCATAAATACTTCGAATGTAAGCGTATGGTGCTACTAATCGAAAATCAACTATACTATTTTAAAATTAATAGTTTGCATTTTTCTTCAGGTATTCTTTTACGTTTTCATTATACATATAGCTTTATTAATAAAAACCTAAAAAATTGAAAGAAAATCTGTTTTTCTCATTAACAACTATAAACTGCCAGTTTTAAAAATAACAAAGCAGTCAATAATGATAAAAATGTCATCCGTAATCAATGCCAAAAATGCAAATCAAGTCGTATATGCAAAATCTAAGTGTCATTTGGAATCTAATTTAAAAACAAAAGCTTCCGTGAAAAGAAAATGTTTGGTGCAATTTTCTTTCTTCGGAGCGTTTTAGTTTGAGCAGGAATTCTCTTCCACTTGTCTTGAACGAGCTCAATCAGGCCATCATACATAATTTGGACTGGAATGAGAAAACAACATCAACCACTCGAAATACATTCAATATTTTAAAATAAAATTGGCAATAAATGAAAATGGGAAGGGAAAGAGCGATAAGCTAAGAAAATTTGACCGATCTGCAGTTGAAGAAGGCGATAAATGTTGAATTGCTGAAAGCGCTTCTGCTAAAATAAAAAACAACATAAATTAAAGTTATATTTTCTTACATTCAGCAAATAAAAATTTAACTCTGAGGTTTGTTTTAATGAAATGCTTATTTGTTCTGATATCAATTACCATAAAATCAATCAATAATTTAATTCAAACTTCAAATAGTAAATCAGTTTGTTAAGATTAAGCATGCATAAACAATTTAGATAAACCACCCCTAAGGACTGATTCGGGAGTGTCAAATATGCGATATTCATACGGGAATTTTTTCAACAAAAATTAGGTGTATTAACAAAAATTAGGTGTATTTTAGCACGATAATGAAAGAGTAAGATGTAGTGAAGGAAAAAAAAAAAAAAAAAAAAAAAAAAAAACGAAGGTGGATAGACATTCAGGGCGTCAGTAAACACGCAGACGATTCTACGAGTAATTGTCCAAAGCGCTATTTGATATTGGAAAAAAAAAGAGAGTTCTTAACAAAATGAATTTATTATTACTTACTTTGAATAAAAGATTTTTAATGATACTTTTATTGTTTATAATAATTCTAATATGTATAGAATGCCACTGTTTCGCACAATGCAGGTAACATATATATCCTCTGGAGAAATGAAAATTTTTTTCGCAAATCATACATACGCCAGTGGTAGAATTCTCATGATAATGTTTCTATAACAGAAGTATAATCATTTCCCAAACTGTTAATTTAAAAATCTTTCCGTTAGATAATTTTAATTTCCCGTTTTCAATAACTTTGCCTTTCCTTTGTAGGAAGTATGCCATTAAATTCAAGAAATGATTACTTTATTATCGAAGTTCTTTTTTTGCTTCATTTGTTTTTCTCTGACATTTTATTCAGGCAAAATTTTAAGAACTTCCAAATTTTTCTGTACATCTTGTGTAATAAAATAAGAAACCCGTTTTGAATTTCAATGTATTGAAGATCAGAAAATTAGTTATAATAATTTCTACACAAATTTCATATTTAGGAGCATATATTATGCTTTCTGACAGTTATAAATTTGTTTAATTAGAGTATCAATTAAGAATTGCGTAATTATATTTCTATAATTAGTATAAGTAGAATTATAGAGGTACAAATTTTCATTGTAAGTTTCTAAACATTACCAACTTTAAAATAAAGGTTAATTAGAATATAACTGAAAAAAAAAAAAAAAGGTTAAAAGGAATGGCTATTATATTTTTCGTACTTAAGCTTATTGTGCAGCAATTAAAAAAAGAGGTTTGTCTTTATCGAGATCAGAATTATTATTTGCCAAGGAAAAATACGTATAAAGAAAATTTTACAAGCATAATATTTGTTTTGAATAAAAATAATATTTGAATGATAAATGTAATTATTAGAAGTTCAAAAAACAGCCTTCAGCGTTCAGTTTTATAAATTTGCAATTTATAAATTCGGAAGTTTTATTACAGAGCCTTCTTCATCACCTGCAGGAGTGAAAATGACAAAACAGTAACTTGTGCTCCCGAGGTACCAGAGTAAGCAATAGGCTTGATAATTCGAGAAAGTTTTGCTAGCGCCATCTGTTGATGAGAAATGAAAACACTTTGAAATAATATCTAAGGGTAAATTTGTAATGGAATGTGGATCATTAACTAGAACTAAAATAATTTTGTGAACGTGAAATACTCTATAAAATCTATTTCGCTAACAGGAGCTATTTTTTAAATAATTTTGGCTGCAGAAAAATGAGAAATACGTTTTTTTGATAAACAGTATTGAGCAACAGATGATTTATGCTCTTCTTTTTTTTCTAACATATGATTCACACTCCTTAATACCAGTGGCATAGCTAAGGTGGGGCAAGAGGGACATCAGTCCCTGGGCGCAGCATCCAGGGGCGCCGAACTGATGTTGGGAAATCTTAGAATGACTTTAGAATTAACTTTTTCATTCTTGGCACACAGAAAGGAGCGCAACATCTTCAATTTTCCCCGGGCGCTGAAAAAAAAAAAAAAAAAAAAAAAAAAACGCCTCTGCTTAATATGAAATTTTAAGCCTCTCTTAGTTTGACCAATTTATATTAAACCTTACTGGCAAGGAATACTGTATACATTTCAGAATTTTATATCCAGAATGGAATTTTTAAGTATTGAGCTAAAAATTCCATTCTTAGGAGAAAAAAAGACTCCAAAATTAAACTTCTGTAAAATACTTATAATGTTATACCTAGCAGATGAAAAGAAAGAAATGAATAGACAATTTTTGTAATATCCTAAAACGAGACAATTGTTGAGGTGTTTATAATATCCTAAGACAAGAGAAGTGTTCTGTTGTATTGAGGTGAGAATTTTTTAACTGCTTGGCCAATAATACTAGGCGAAACACCTCTGTCGACGAACAGAAGGAATTTGGTATCTCAGCTTCGAAAGCCAACAGAATAACAGGATTAAGGGAATTCATTATTAAGAGAATTTTATTTCTTCCTTATCACTGTCAAAGAAAGCAAAGGTATAGTCAACATAGGAAACAAATATGGATATTTACTATTTAAAATAATTTGGTTTCATAATATACGAGTATATCAGCAGTACCTATCTAGACAAGCAATAATTACCATAAAACATAGGGTCGCATTCCACTCTGAGAGGCAGAAAAGAGGAAAGTATAACGAATCTACGATGAACAAGGAGACTATCTACTAAGATTATCAAGAATTAACCGCATGCAAATTTGCACTGAGAAGCAGCAGCATTTTGCTCTTAGTTGGCACAGTAGAAAGCCAATCAGAGCAAACGTTGTCCTTGAAAACGGCACATCATCACCAAAGAATATGTATTGTTAAGAAGGAAAGCTTCGCAGCAGCAGGAGTGGCTCTCTCCGAACGAAAAGGAACGCAACTGCGCATGCGTGAAATATCT